TCTAACCACCCTGTTATGTCTCTAAACTTACTAAAAATACAGGCAACAATCTGCCCACCCTGAAATGTCTATAACTTACTTACATTGCAGGCAACAATCTAACAATCCTGTAATGTCTCTAAACTTACTGAAAATACAGGCAACAATATGCCCACCCTTAAATGTCTATAACTTACTTACATTACAGGCAACATTCTAACCACTCTGTAATGTCTCTAACATTACTGACAAAACAGGCAACAGTCTGCCCACCCTTAAATGTCTTTAACTTACTTACATTATAGGCAACACTCTAACCACTGTAATGTCTCTAAACTTACTGAAAATACAGGCAACAATCTGCCCACCCTGAAATGTCTATAACTTACTTACATTACAGGCAACATTCTAACCTCCCTGTATAATGTCTCTAAACTTACTGAAAATACAGGCAACAATCTGCCCACCCTGTAATGTCTCTAACATTACTGACAATACAGGCAACAATCTGCCCACCCTGAAATGTCTATAACTTACTTACATTACAGGCAACAATCTAACAATCCTGTAATGTCTCTAAACTTACTGACAATAAAGGCAACAATCTGCCCACCCTGAAATGTCTATAACTTACTTACATTACAGGCAACAATCTAACAATCCTGTAATGTCTCTAAACTTACTAAAAATACAGGCAACAATCTGCCCACCCTGAAATGTCTATAACTTACTTACATTACAGGCAACATTCTAACCACCCTGTGATGTCTCTAACATTACTGACAATACAGGCAACAATCTGCCCACCCTGAAATGTCTATAACTTACTTACATTACAGGCAACAATCTAACAATCCTGTAATGTCTCTAAACTTACTGACAACACAGGCAACAATCTGCCCACCCTGAAATGTCTATAACTTACTTACATTACAGGCAACAATCTAACAATCCTGTAATGTCTCTAAACTTACTAAAAATACAGGCAACAATCTGCCCACCCTGAAATGTCTATAACTTACTTACATTACAGGCAACATTCTAACCACCCTGTAATGTCTCTAACAATACTGACAATACAGGCAACAATCTGCCCACCCTGAAATGTCTATAACTTACTTACATTACAGGCAACAATCTAACAATCCTGTAATGTCTCTAAACTTACTGACAATACAGGCAACAATCTGCCCATCCTGCAATGTCTATAACTTACTTACATTAAAGGCAACATTCTAACAATCCTGTAATGTCTCTAAACTTACTGACAATACAGGCAACAATCTGCCCACCCTGAAATGTCTATAACTTACTTACATTACAGGCAAGATCTAACCACCCTGTATAATGTCTCTAAACTTACTGACAATATAGGCAACAATCTGCCCACCCTGAAATGTCTATAACTTACTTACATTACAGGCAACATTCTAACCACCCTGTAATGTCTCTAACATTACTGACAATACAGGCAACAATCTGCCCACCCTGAAATGTCTATAACTTACTTACATTACAGGCAACATTCTAACAATCCTGTAATGTCTCTAAACTTACTGACAATACAGGCAACAATCTGCCCATCCTGAAATGTCTATAACTACTTACATTACAGGCAACATTCTAACAATCCTGTAATGTCTCTAAACTTACTGACAATACAGGCAACAAACTGCCCACCCTGAAATGTCATTAACTTACTTACATTACAGGCAACATTCTAACCAACCTGTAATGTCTCTAAACTTACTGACAATACAGGCAACAATCTGCCCACCCTGAAATGTCTATAACTTACTTACATTACAGGCAACATTCTAACCACCCTGTAATGTCTCTAAACTTACTGACAATACAGGCAACAATCTGCCCACCCTGAAATGTTTATAACTTACTTACATTACAGGCAACAATCTAACAATCCTGTAATGTCTCTAAACTTACTGACAATATAGGCAACAATCGGACCACCCTGCAAAGTCTCTTAACCTTGCTGGAAATGTAGGCAACAATCTTACCACCCTGCAATGTCTCTAAACGTTACTGACAATGAATGCAACAATTTAATGGCCGTACAATGTCTCTTACCTAACTGATAATTCAGACAACAATAATTATTGATGTTAAATGTAAACATAGTATATAATAATATGTATATATATCACAAATTTGAGTCGTAAATCGTTAGACACAGTATTTTCATCCATTTAAACGTGAAATATTACTTCATAAAACTACCCTGAGACCATGACCACTATCTTAGATTACAACTAGATAAAGAAAACTATTTAGGATTGTGATAAATAATGCATTGTTTAAATTGTTTTAAACAACACTGTTGTAAAACTTACTATAGAAAATGATCAATACATTATAACAATGCATAAACCATCATTCAATGACGGTAAAATACACTAAACTATACGCAAAGTGGAGAAGACGATTTCACGCTATGCTATGGTATAACTACACTAAACTACGCTTTTGATATACTTATAGCTATGATATGCTTATAGCTGTACTATGCTTATAGCTATGCTAGTTATGCTATGCTATTGCATGCAGTATGCCTTTTAAGCATTTTGTATTAAAATTGTGTGATATGTTATTGCTGTAAAGAACAAATTCACACTGGGAAAGAAAATTACATTTTAATAAAGTCCATGATCTGTAGGGCATTTTACATTGTAGACAGTATAGACAATGTAAATAATATAACCATAATTACTGGCACTATTATACAGGCATATTTTGTTATTTCTAACATGTTTTCATTCAAATCTTACATCATTTAGCCTCAAAACGTATCTAAAATTTGATAAAAAAAACTTTATATCAAGAAAGAATGAAAGAAAAATGTCATATGCGTTAATTGTTATTTCGTCTGAACGGATGTCTCAGTGTTAATAAACCAATATCAATTTTGTTACATCGAGAGATCTACTAACTATTGTATGTTAGATTTGAAGTTGGAGAAGATGAATAAATAGATCTAAGATAAACTTTACTGAGGACTTACATTAGTTTAGTATATCATTTTATCTCATTATAAATTGTATAAAAATAAATACTTTAAAACAAAAGCTTGTAAACGATTTCAAAATTGATCGACCGCTTTACTAATTGTTTACTAAATCTTGAAATAAATAATTGATGCTCATTGATTGGTTGTAATTTGCGATCTTATTGAACTACTGTCGGATAGCTTAAAGTTTATCTTCAATCAGCTCTAACCATGCACACAATCTTCTACTGACTTAGTTAATTATACAGTGGTTATGTTACAGTAACGATGTGAGGAAATAATTACCAGATAACGAAATAGACCAAACATTTAAAGCAGGTCGGATTAAAATCCTCATTCAAAAGACATTGTTTTTTATAGTAAAAGAAATATGGGAAAAATGCTGGTTTTCGTGAAATATATTAGACTTTTATATTTGGCATAGTTGTATTATACAAATGTAAGATGACGGAAGTTTTTCAAACTGATTTGAAGTTAAGTTTTAAGATAATACAAAGAACATGATTGTTGACAGATAGCGATTTTGTAGGTGGTACACGGACTGATACTGGGAGAGAAACGAGCGATTTTTAAACAGGACGATGTAAATGATACGGTAACAAAATCCGTGAACGCTATTGTAACAATTAAGACACGCTGAATTAATCTTGATGTCTCGCTGCCACACATGAAAGACAAGTTAAAAAGGGAGGATTAACCATCAGCTAGAGGAAATATTTTTAAAATAAATTGCTTTTTAAGAAATTTGAACTCATAGATGTGAAATAAGGTTAAGAAGGGGATACATTCAGAATTCAATGGGAAGAAAGTAATAGACTAAAATTGTGTACAGCTATATATGTATGTAAAACTTGCGCCTTCAGTTATTTCTGATGGGAAAGTAGTGTTATGATTTATGAAAGAAGACGTATTTCATAAAAGCAGATAAATTGGAATTATAAAATGACAATCAAAACATAATGAGATGTTTAAACACGTCGAGCAAATAAATTACTTATACATAAACAGGTGATATAAAAAGAACATAAAATGTATAACATCGGTTACATATGAAAACGTACTATGAAAAGCAGGTTTCAAATTTCAAAGACTTTGTTGGCAAGTTGAATTCTATATCTTTACTTAAATGGTTTATATAGTCATAAAAAGGGCAACATATTAACGGCTTTTAGATGAGATTTAAATATAAATTAAATAATAGTTTATATTGTGTACATGCGAATTTCATTCCTTACATTTTTATACAACAATAAAGGTATAAAAAGGAGGTGTGCGTGTACTTTTGTGACAATTTGTTTGTTATTTGTATGAATTATTGGGACTTTACGACACGTCGAAGATATGTCCTGTGATAACGTCACATACTGTCGCACACTAATTAATTGGATTATCTTTTCTTCATGTTGTACAATAACTTGCGAACCTCGGTACAAAAACATGTTTTTTATGTAAATATGTATAAATGATCGTAAATAAGTCGACTTTAATTAGAATATAGAATATGGATATAATATTTTGAAAGGAATTCAAAGCCGATGACATCAAATTTGAAACCAAAACCGATGTATTGAAACTAAAACAAGGTTTATGAACGTGTTTTGTTTGTACAGATATATTGTTAAATTAACTTAACAATAATGTTTTACATCAAAGTTTTGTTTGCACGGATATAAAGAATTGGAAGAAACGAACGAAATGATACGAAATTGACTCAAAGAATTAAAACTCTGTTGACAAAGATGACGAAGCATTGTAGTGACATACCATGTTTTGGATTAAGAAAAAATGGACCATAAAATCTAGTTTTATGTGTAATATCTGACATATTTTATGTACATATAGGACCTGAGTTCATTTGGGAGTAATAACACGTACTTAAAATGATATAAATATATATTATACTTTATCAGTTAAAATGGAATGAGTCAAACTCATTATGTTGAAAGAACATTAGTATCACTACAAAATATAGAGACGTGAATACTTGAGTATTTCATATTAAATATGTCTGAAAATCCCATGGAAAGTGAAAGCGGAAATGCATACGGACTAAGGCTGACTCTTTTGGCACCTGAAGGACGCGGAACGGCGCTAGATCGAATTTTGTCGTCCCTTACTGACTGGATAGACCCAGCTAAACAAATTGTTGATGTTGACGAAATGCCACCCGAAGAGGATAAAAGAAAACAGACAAAGCACGAAAAGAGTATAGACGGTTGCCTGATTACACCTGCAATAAGTGTTATGCTGTTTGTTCGGGAGACAGGAAGAATGTGCTTGGATGATGTTGAAAAAGTTCTAAAAAAGTCACCGTGGCAGTTCCATCACAAAGTAGAACTACATAACAAGAACGTACCTCGAACACCTCTGGCGAAACAGGAGTTTTACAAGCTTGCCGACGACTTGCCCTTATTTGCTGCTTGCCCAGTTCTTAATGAAAACGAACACTTGCGTGTCAATCTTTATGTACATAACTTTCCCGCAATGGTTGAATTCTATCGGACGATAACAGATACTGAGATTGAAACGAATAAACCCGAGTTTTGCGTATTCGAGTTATATCGACAGCCTGGATTAGACATTCAATTGTCTCTCAAACGATCTCAGTATATTTACCCTATTCCTGTGGAATCTGCCTATGTTAGTTTCAACATTAAAAACATTAAAGTGGTTGAATTAGTATCTGACAATGAAGTCGAACACGTCGGCGGAAATGTTTACACAACACGCGACCCTGACGGAAATCTTGTTGTTCTGTATGAAACGGATTTTAATAGTTCACACGATTGCTCAAATCTTGCCGGAGCTTGCAATGCATTGAACACATTTAGTTTAGATAGCTGTACCGGCTTTGATGACGTCAAAAGTCTAAAAAGCACGGCTGGTAGTCATGACTCAGGGAGATATTCGGACTTAGATGGACCAAATAACGACAATCTCGTTCACACAGAGCGTTCCAAGCGTTCTGAAAACAAACGCAAATCAAGAAACCAAAGTGAAAAAAGTGAAGGTTATGCAAGTTCTAGTTCTTCTAGTTTGACGCTTAGACATGAAAATTCATCTGAAAATAGTACTATCAATGATAAAAATCAAAAGTCCACCGGGAAACATAACGGAAAATCATCTAAAAATAAAGCGAGCGCTTCTGAAAGAAAGACAAAACATGGAAAACAAATTACGCCAGTCTATATCTGAAGTGGAACTGTCATATTTTCAAATAAGTATTTTATTTTAGTTAAAAGGTGAATCTATGTCGCAGAACACTAAATACACCTTAGAATTCTTATTATAACAACTCATAATTGTTTGTAATTATTGTAATATATTGAAATATTGAGAGATAATTTGATACGTGTAATTATAACAATACATTTTTTGTGCAGCTTTCGAAATGATAATTATGTAGTGTACAAAAGGCTGTTTAATATAGACAATTGATAATTACTATACTCGTTTATAACTGTAATTACATTCTTTTCTGTTCTGATCTGTGCCATATGATTAAAGCATAACGTTTTTTTATATATTGCAAAACACACATCGGGTTTAAGCGTTGTTTAACCTATTAACTGTTCAACCATTTATTGTTATTTGTGATTTTTGTCAACATTTCATTCGAAATAAATGTATAAATGTACATATAGCACGCAACGCAACAACGTGAATTCGGGACTGCACATGTTTTATTGCTGTATTCTTTTTTTTAAATATTAACTAGTCTTTGTTTGCAACCATTACCAACCCAAACAGATGTTTAATAACAAATAGTACACAGCAGTTCATCTTTATAATCATTTATGTGATTGAATTGTTTTGTATAAATTAGTGTCCACATTACTGACAAAATTATCAATGCCATACTCTTTTAGATTAAAATATTTAATTAACAAATATAGTTTATTATGAAATTTATTCAATAGTTATTTTGCTCAAGTTTTTACCTGTCACATTTGCATTTTCTGATAATTGTTGAAGAGATTCAATTTGCATGTATTCAATAAGATTTGCATCAAAATTTCTAAATTTGATATTTTAGATATTATCGTGTCGTTAAATCAAACTATTTAATTATATGTTGTCAGCATAAAGTTACTTAATTTGAATAAATCTTGTTAAGAAATGATTTTGAAATGATTTTACATTAATTTACATGTTGGATTGATATAAACACTTTATCCTCATACCATACTGTGTATCAAACTATAAATACCCCATAACACCGCCCATGCTGAGATTTTTATGTTGCTTGCATTTGGTACAAGACATATGGGTATCCGACTTAAAGCAGGGCTCTATTTACCACTTTTGAAGATTTTTGCTGTTTTATATGTCATTTACAAAAAAGTAAACTTTTACTTTTGTTGATCAAGCGATAGGCGACGTTTATGAATATCATTTTTATTTTAAACTGAATTAATCTTAAACAAATATATGTGATCAAGTTTACCTTCATACACACGCACGCACATAAATGCATACACGTGATGGGCAAACATGTTTTCAAAATTACACAAAGTATGAATAAATTATTTTAATTAAAGTCATATTCATTTGTCCTTGGAATTGAGATGTGTAAAATTATGATTTAATTTGAAAATACAAGTCCCCGAGAAATGTGTTCTTATACCAAAAAAGTGAGTATGAAAATCAAATCAGTTAAGTAGTTGTATGTTATTCCTATATGTATGTTTAAAATCTTATTTTGCACCCGACAATGCCAGTAAACTTTTATTGCGGGTTTCATCACCAAGCTTTTAAAAGATATAACTTTTTATCAAAATATACGAGGGTTGATCAAAAAGTCCTTGAACCCAACTAATGGTTTTACTTTTCAATAAAATCGCCCTGTACATCAATGCACTTTGCCTACCTGCGCTCCAACTTGTTTAACCCTTCAAAATAAAACTCTCTATTGTGGTCCTCAAAGAACTCATTTACCGCCTCCATGACACCTTCATTGCTTCCAAAACGTCTACCACGAAGCTTGGTTTTTTGTTTCGGAAGCAGTCAGAGGGCGCCAAGTCCGGAGAATATGGGGGACGGGGAAGAATTTCAAAGCCAGTCAGCTGCAGCAGCCATCGCAACTTGTTTAAATGATGAATTCTGCTTAAGCCGATGCTAGGGGGCGTAGACGATAACATGCAATTTTCATAACCGTCCACGAACAGGCTTAATGAAACCGAGCCTGCAACTTTTTTTCAATTTTGTCGTGTTGGGCTTTCTTTAGGGATTCTGATTTTCTATAATTTTTTTTGGATTTGTGAGCTGGCGCATTGTCGTGCAGGGGCAGAACGCCATGAGTCAGTTTGCACCGCCTTTTAAGTGCGATTTTCTTGACGCAGACGTTTCAATTCGTCTGCATAGTACAAACCGTTTATGGTACGGCCTTTCACAAGATAGTTAATACTGATTATCCCCTGACTGACTATCCCAAAAAAATGAAGCCATCTTCTCTGCTGATGGCACCCTCTTGAATTTCTTCGGAGGGCATGATTCAAGGTGCTTCCACTGCATGCTCTGTTTTTTTTATTCTGGATTGAAGTGATGGACCAATGTTTCATCCTGAGTTAAGATCCGGTAGATAAAATCAGGTTCAACCTCGTAGCGAGACAAAAGATATCTAAAAATGTCACGCCTGATCTGTTTCTGGTCGTCAGTCAACTGTCTGGGGACCAATCTAGCGGAAACTTTTGACATAACATAGACATTAGTCAAAAATACCTGAACTGAACCAAAGCTTATGCAATGCTTCGCAGTCGCACATGACCAGATCGTGTACAGTTTCGGCAGTTTCATCGTTGGTGGCCTCTTTGCCCCCCCCCCCACACCCGATCATCTCAAATGCTCTCCCTGCCCCTCTTAAATTTAGCAGCCCATTTTTTTCACAGTGATATAGGAAGGGGAAGTCTACTTCTACTGATCAAAGTTTTGTGTTACTTAATCTGTGTAAAAATCTTCAATAAGATATCGGCTTTCGACGCATTGTGTGTAAATGTCAGTGTAATAGCTAGAAGTATATCGGGCCGAGAACTTTTTGATCATACATAAAATCAGTTTATGAAATGCATGTATTTTGGAAACTCGTATTCCTGTGTTTTTTTTTCCATATATCTTTTGATGTTGAAAGGCATTTTTATTCGGTATAATGTACACTTTAAACCGAAGACTTTATGACTACATAGAATATCAGTTATTTGAACAATTTCATGATTTGTATTTGTACCTTAACTGTATCGTCATTATCTTGATACTTAAAGTAGATTGTAGATAAAAGATATTTTATTATGAGTTGTATGAATAAATAACTTCAAAACAGAAAGTGCATCATAGTCATTTTCAATTTCATTTCAATTCAACTTTAATTTATTTGCAATACTCTAATTTTACATATAGCATGACGTTTTGTTTCAGTCCACTATGCAACTTCAGGGGCAAAAATGAGGGCCGTCTAAACTGCGAGTTCAATGAATAATTCCCATAAAATGCACAATGGCTAGTATTTTATGAAGTATACTTATATGAATACTTGTTAAAAGGCCTACTAACATGTAAGCTAAATCATCAATATTTATCATAATCTGCTAGCAAAGTTTATTGTATAAAACAAGTATGGTACAATAAGCTAAAATCTATTCATGATTTGCATCGTTTTAACAGGTTTATAACTTTTATAAATCAACTGTAATTATACCAATAAACAAGTTATAAAAAATTGGTCTATTTTACAGACCGAATCATCACAAAATAGCTTTAATTGAACCGTATGAAAATGATCAATGATATGCAATCAAATCAGTGATCATATCAACGGATGACGTTATAGAACACGTGCCGAAATAATAACGATAAACAAAAGCCTGATTTTGATTGCCAGTTAAAAAAAAAACGTCATCAGATAGAGTAAGTTTTTGCTTACTATATATAACAATAATTGAGCCGCGTCATGACAAAACCAACATAGTGGGTTTGCGACCAGCATGGATCCAGACCAGCCTGCACCTCTGCGCAGTCTGATCATGATCCATAGTGTTAGCTATCAGTTTCTCTACTTGTAAAAGGCTTTGTAAGCGAACAGCATGAATCCTGATCAGACTGCGCGGATGCGCAGGCTGGTCTGGATCCATGCTGGTCGGAAACCTATTATGTTGGTTTTGTCATGACGCGGCTCAATTATAACATAGTTGAGTCACCAATAATTTATTTGTATCAAACATTAAAGTTTATTGAAGTATCAAAGTGTCAAAACATAGTGCACGTTATAAATAAAATGCCCTTAGTCAGTTATCCCATTTACATGTTCGTTAAACATTAATCAAATACGTAAGTATATCTGACCATCATTTGTTTTTGAATTTGGCGAATTTTATGAAACTGTGAAGAGGTCACAATAATTATTAATCTGTTTCAGTCTTTAGAGGAAATAACAAAACCGTTCAACTCAGTATTCCCTGCTTAAATAAATGTTGCGCAACGATCACTTAAGAAAGCGGATGTGGCATATTGTTTGCCCGGCAATCTTTGTTGTTTCAAATGTGTTATATGTTGTGGTAAAACACCACTACATCTATTCATCTATTCTCTAGAACTGAATACAGTTTACAGGATGAACTTTAAGAGCGTGTCCAACATGAGAACAGGTATGCGATGCACTTTCTTCGTCTTAGAAAGAAATTTAAGACATAACTGTGCAAGTAATAGGTATTCTAATCTTCATAAAATTTTATATCCCAATAAACAAAACATACATGTACAATAGCAGTTGTTTATGAAGTCCGGGCTACTTAATGTTTTGTTCTGAAAGGAAAATGTTAACTAAAAAGAATATGAATATATATCTCTGACTTTAATACAAAAAATACTTGATGACAATTTTATGATTAAAGTTGCTTTAGCCACTCATGAATACGTTTTTCATGATACGTACTTGGATTTTTCTTTACTGTAACGATTTGCTCTGCTGGAAATTAAGCACGATTACGTCAATAACTGAAACAAAATTTAACAATTCATTTGGCTATTGTTTTATGAATGATAAGCATAAAGTTAAATAAGATAAAAAAGATCAGAAACATGATTGCTGTTTGAACGAGAAAACAAATATTTTATTCCCCATTTCTCAATTTCTCAATGCAATAATCTATATATACTTGTTTATCGTGATCCAAATCAATTAAATCTGTATCCTGCGGAATGTTTGATCTAAAGTAAGGTATAACCTTCTGTCATCCTATACCAGGTTCCTCATGCGGTGCCAGTAGATTAATTCTCATATAATTACAACAATTACCAGAGCCGATCAATGACACTTAGTGGTCTAGCTATTTATGTCATCTTATATCAGCCACGTAGGCTATCTTTTGTTTTGTTTCTTAATAAAATCTGTATTTTTGAAATTACTCCAAATCAATGCGTGTATTTTGGAGACAGGTTCAAATGCCAGGGTTATTGATATTAAATATTCTTATATATATTATTTGATACAATAACATAAACGCCCATGTAAATACTATAATGTAAAAGATGATCAATAAGGAAGGGTAGCATTCAATGAATGTATCCCCCACACGACCCAGCAACATAAGACTACTGGAAAGGAGCCCAGCAGGACACCATAGAACACAAGGCAAAGCACGGACGGGGTGTTAATTTAAATAAATTAAATACAAAATAGGAAATAACAGAAACCGACAAGAAAATTATAGAAGACGATTAGATAATAAGTCTTTAAAACCCACGACTGCTTAACATTTTTCGAAAGTATTCATATTAGTCTTAATTCGAGAGATAATTTTTTTTACTAAATATTTATACATCAATTCATCACGTTAAATGACGTGTGGCAGCCGTAAAAAGTTGCCCTGTACTTCATTTCAGTGCTGTTATATTTTTTCTGGTCCTTCCGAATCATTGATTCCAGCAAATTGAGTACCGCTCAAGCTGGTGCTGGAGGGGGGGGGGGGATGTTGCACTTTTTCATTATCCATCATGCACAGACTCAATCAAACCGGGTCTGCAATTTTCATTTGTTTATTTTGTGCTGATTTTAATACTTGCGATCACTTTTTTCCAGATATTTATACATCACAACAGCAGGTGTTAAGTGCAGTGTGGCAGCCGTTAAAAGTTGCCACGTACTTCACAAGTGTTGTTACATTTTTCTGGTCCTTTGTAATCATTGATTCCAGCACTTTTAAGTATTGAAAATGGAATACCACTCAAGCCGGTGCCAGGGGGGTGAGTGATGTTGCACTTTTTTCATTATCACTCCTGTACACAATCAATCAAACCGGGTCTGCAATTTTCATGTAATTTCGCTGATTTAAATGCTTCCTAAAGGGTCACTTTTTTCCAGATATTTATGCGTAAACTACTCTATATGCAATACGTCCAGCTACATTCTTTTCCGAAAAAATAGCTGTATAATTTTCATCATTAATTCCCGTCTAGACCCTACGACACGATACCCCTTCAATCGGGAAAAGGGAACACAAGTAACGTTGCTATATCGATTTTTTAACAGACTCAAATCGAAAAAGCATTGTTTATCAATTCATTATTTTTATGAAACAAAATACAACAGCTGCAATGAACATTTATTATTTATATTTTTATTACCACTTAAAGAGGATCCCTCTTTTTTCGATATATTGCTGCTGTTATGAGCAAAGCAGTACGTTATAAATGCTTAAAAGTATTTTCACGTTGTCGTTAAATGGAAAAAGTTCTTTATCCTCAGTAAAATCCCTATAGCACAAATTACCCTTTAAGCTGGATCCTGGAAAGACTGGCTGCTATAGAGGGGTTACGCGTTAATAATGTCTTTCTAATCTATGCTCTGAACTAATGCAACATTACAGAGACCCATGTACAAACCAGTAAATTAATGTTTTCATATTTTCGCTTCTCATAACTTTAGGCTCATAATCATGAATGGATTATATTTATGTATGCTATTATTAAACATTAAATACGATTAGATATTGTATTATCAGGATTTGTTGCGTAAATGCAATGAGTTCTCAACACTTTTAATTCATTTAGACTGCCTTTCAATACATGTCATTCCGGGAATGTACTTTAACTGAACCGCACACAACTGACGCAAACAAACACAAAAAACTCAGCAAGCGGTAAACGTAAACAACAAAAGTAATCAAAGCACAGAAGGCGCTGAATTTGTTTAAGTCTCAGAATGTCAGAAAGGTAAAGGTTGTGAGATTATAAACCAATTTGTTTTTGTATAGAGCCACCAATGCTTTCCAGCGTTTTAATTGTAGTAAATTGTCTATAAGACTAATTGCAACACATATATTCAATTTAATGTTTATTTGACTTAAACAATTTGAAAAAAAAATGAGTTGCCTTAACTGGGATTTGAACTCCAAACCTCTCGCTTTCTAAGCGAGCGCGCAAACGGTGAAGTTATATGATAACGGCCTGAAGAAATCCTAAATTATGATATGTAACACTTTATTATTTCGACGCTAAAGTTAACTGTTGTTTAACACAGATGTAAATAATCATGGAGCTTACTATATTAGCATGTATATCTATAAAGAATAAAACAATATTAGAAATCTTCGACCATTCGGAAACTATTTTGCTTGAAAATTAATGCGCCTGTCATTTGACATTCTCTACGCAGTGATCTCCCCTGAATTTTTCGGTGTTAGTGTACATATAAAGGGAAGAAACCGCTTCAAAAAAGCGGACTACTTTCGGCATTTGCAATTAACAGCATCAGGGTCTGAAATTTCGCTACCATTATATGTTTGGTCTGACGACCCAAACAAATAGAAACAATGCAAGTAAACTTCATAGTGGTTTATTACATTTATGTCATAATTATGCTACAATAACTTCATGTCCGTGACTATGTGTTTTTCTACACGCGTCTTTGTCACATACTGGACATACCGTGATCCCGTCACGACCTATAGTATACTGTTTGATACGGCATTTATCTAAAATCTTGTCATCATTAGGACAATAGTTCGAAGGGCAAACATCTTTTTTGTCCCCTGAAATAAACGTGAAAGCATCGTTAATTAAGAAATGGTATAAATATTAGGTTGGATATAACACTATATAACGCCGTAATGACAATTTTCAACAAAAACTTTAAAGGGACAATCAAAATATACGTACACATTCACATAATTCGACAGTCCAAAATTCTTAATATTTTCTTTAAACTTCACGATACTGCACAATTTATAGATGGACTGGAGCTCAATCAAACCGAGCCTGCGACATTTACAATTTTGCCGTGTTGATCTTTCTTTAGGGATTCTTATTTTCTCTATCTTATTGTCACATTAGTGTTATTTGCCCCGTGTGGGAACTCTAAACGTCTCCCCGTACATTTAATATAAGATGTTGTATTTTCCATCCTTGAAGATCGTTCAGCACGACATTATTGTTGTGAAGGCATGTTTTTGGTACCTTTAGTTTTTTTCAAATTTGATATTATCCCTCAGCATATGTTGCTGCTTTTTAATTTTGTCTTTTGACAACTTATCTGTGATATGCAGACTTCATAACCTCTGATTCTCTTTCAATATTCCATTTTATTTAGTTTCACCCATCGTTTTCTCTTTTAGGCACATGCATTTTTACTTGGGCCATATGCCGCTTTTCATAGACGCGTCACATTGAAGGTTCTATGATAACCGCCATATGAACACATCAAAATTTTACCAGTTCATTTTAAATGTTGAATTCTACTTAAGCCGGTGTTGGTGGGCGTGGACGGTAACTTGCACTATTCAGTACCGCCCACGAACAGGCTCAATCAAACCAATACTGCAGCAATGTTGGGCTTTCTTTAGGGGTTATCATTTTCTCTGTTTTAAATCCGTTAAAAAGCAACCCTTAGAAAAAATTGCTTCAAAACATTGATATGTTAAGACATCTATTTTTGTAGAGCTCTGTAAGAGCTAAGATGTATACCGTTTTAATCCTCCTCGGAAAAAAATCCCAAAAGAATAGCAAAATTAAAACATGTTGCTGGTTCGGTTTGATTGAGTCTGATCAAGTGGTAATTTCAAAATACCGTACATGCCCCTAGTACAGCAGAGATTCAACACTTAACATGAAAAGGGTCAACTTTTAAATTTTATCGGTAGATGTGCTCATACGTCAGTAATCATGGAAATGTAATGTGTCACGTTCGTGCCATTACACGAAAAGCGGCGTATACAGTCCCATTTGGTAAAAAAGACAATAATTGTATGCATAAATGTATACATTGTTTATAAATTCTTGCATATAAAATATATATAAAAATGATTTGGAAATGAACATGTTTACTCTTTTGACATTTTATAAAAACTCTTAATATATCCTAATTATTAACGTAAAATATACTATCAATCAGTGTGCTAAATATTCTCTTTTACAGGCAAACATAATTTAAGCGATATCATTTTTCTAAGAAGGTGTAAGAAAGCTTCAAAATGCTATTAACAGGAACATGAAACAAATGTATAAACTGTGTATGCAGATGTTAATGCTTAAAAATACACATAGACAATAACCCTGGTCAAAAAGAAGTTTAAAAGTGCTAACAGACATTTCAGATCTAGTATGATTTCCAGTATCAAAGATTTTTCAGACATACGGATGAAAGAAGAGCGCCCCATCCCCCGCACCCACCCCACAGATATGTTCATATTGCGGTTATCATGGAACCTTCAATGTGACACGTAAGTGCCATTCCATGAAAACCGAGTAAAAATATGCGTGTGCCCAAAACGAGAAAACAATGGGCGGAAGTTAATAAAATGGAATTTTGAAAGGGGATCAGAGGTGATGAAACCTGCATATCACAGATAATACGTCAAAAGACAAATTTAAAAAGCAGGCCACATAATCGAAGGGTGATTCAACAGTATTCAAGTGAGGAATACTGGAACCACCCAACAAGAAAATAGCCGAATAGAATGAACTAAATTACAAGCAAAACAAAAATGTCGTGCTGAACGATCTTTAAGGATCGGAAATATAACATCTCTGATTGAATGCACGGGACGACTTTTTACAGCCTCCACACGGCACAAACACCGCTGATGTGGCGATAAAATAGAGAAAATAAGAATCCCTAAAGAAAGCCCAACATGGCAAAATTGAAAATATTGCAGACTCGGTTTGATTGAGCCTGTTCATGGACGGAACTGTCAAGTGCAAACTACCGTCCACGCCACCTAGCACCGGCTTAAGCAGAATTCAACATTTAACATGAAGTTTGAAACATCCGCAGATGTGCACATACGGCGGTTATCATGGAACCATATCACAGATGATACGCCAAAAGTCAAAATTAAAAAAGCAGGCCACATATATAAAGACAACAATAATTAAATCTGGATAACATAAGCAATGTAAAAACACAAAAAAGTTGATCGATATTATATGTTAAACTTTAAGATAACATAAAGAGGATATTATGCCATTTTGAATTTGTTGGGAAAATACTGTTTATTGAATGCTAAGGAAAGAAACGTGCACTAAAGTCTTAAAAGTTGATCAAATCACACTTACAATCCTCCTATTCTAGCTTTGACAATTATGCATAATGTGCTATTTAAATCAGTGTTATAGAGGTATTATTATCAACTACCATTAACAAACTCACACACAGAATCCATGGAATCATACCGAGCCTGTCATTTTCATATTATCTAACTATATCATGAAAAAATGAATGAATGAATGAATGAAAGAATGAATACAAACCGCAAGCGTTTGTGTCGCACACCTTGCACCTTGTGATGCCATCTGTTCCTATCATATAATGTGGCCTGCGGCAATTTGCTTCTAACACCCCGACTGCTAATGGGGGCAAAAAAACATTGGGGCTAATCAGTTTTGCGTCCTGAAAGAAAATAGTGGGGAAAGGGGAAAACTCGGGAAAAAATTGACAAAGGGTTTTTTCCCGGCAATCCGGGGAAAACTTTTCATTAAAAAAATTTTTGTAACAACACAACAGGGGCTTCACTTAATTTAACCTGAAGCTATAACGGTAAAAATTTATTTACACCACGGATTAGATGTTTAAATCACACATTATAACATTTTAAGATTGACTAATCATTTAGATAGGAATGGTGTAAGAATTTTTTTTGTCAACAAAATTAATTCATGTACAGTATAAAATGTAATAAATATCTTTTAAAAATAACGTGTTTCTAAAACCAGTTTACTCGAGGGAAAAAAATTAAAAAGACAATATCGCTTTTAAATCGTCTATTTTTAAACAGAAATAAAACCCCCCAAAAAAATTTTTCCCAAAATTTCTAAAACCATTTTTTATTTCCCTTTTTAAACCACAAATAACCTTTTTAAAATTCATCAAACATAAATTTTAACTTTAAAAAATTTTTTTTTCTTTGAAGATTGACCATTGGCTGGAAGGGGGACCGCAATTGCCTTATTTTCGATTTTGAAAAAAGGTTTTAATTTTCTTTTGAATTAAATATCTTTTAAAAATTATTACCGGGTTTTAAAACTTTCAAAAAAAATTTTAATTTAAACCCAATTTTTTTTAAAAATTGGTAATTTTTTTTTCGGTTTTATAAAAAAAATCAATGATTTCCCCTTTTTTGGGGCGTGTACAATTATTACACTGAAAACCAATTTTGGGGTCACTAAATATCCCTCTCGCAATTTAGATGTTTTGAAGACGGTGTAATTTCACAAACAGAATAAGCAAAACGTGGTGTGCCTTTTATTCACAAAAGTACGCGGAGGATGGACATACGTTATTGCAATGTATCATCATTTGTAGCAACATATGCGAAAACAAACACAGATGGTCTATTGCCAAAAGGCTTTGAGTATTTGATTTCGTAAAATATATCAATGACATGTGATCTGTGTATAATTCTCACTGTTGTCAGTTTTTGTTTGTAAAATGGTTTTATATTAGGTGAATGTATTTGATAATTTGCGGTTATTAGACGCCGCGTGCACGCGGCGGCTAGTAAATATGCATTCGCCTATTCTTGCATTTTTTCTTTACACGATTACACTGTGTTCAGATTCTCTTAGATATTATACTAATAAAAACAGTTTTTTCTGATGTTCAACACATCACAGAGCTTTAAGGAATTGAAATAAACGTTTAATGTTAGTGATAGTGTCATGTCTGAATATCATATTCTTTTTCTTTTTATCCTTTTTAATAACGTGTCAATGAGCCAGTCTATAGTCTAATGACGGGAACAAAATTTGGACAGGGAACCAGGGATAAGGGTATAATTCATCGCAATTCTTTTAATTACGGGATCGGAATGATTTTTTTAATCGATTTTGCTTTCCTTATTAAAGAGTATTTGATAGAAAAAATCTGAATGCACAAGTACATTTTTTAAAATAAAAAGGATTTATTTTTAAAATTTTAAATCTAGGGTTTAAACGTCTAATTTTTGCCTCAGTCGGGGGGTTTTACATTTTGTCTGGTGAAATTTTATTTTTTTTTAAAAGCAATTTTTCCAATGTAGTTTGCTTCGAGGAGACCTTTCAATCTTTATCGCAACGGACAAACATTAGTTGACTCAGAACTTCAGACATGAAATTATTTTGTGAAAAAATGCTTTAGGTTCTACCTTTTTCACAAAAATATGCAACTTATTAAACAACGAGCACATACCAAGAAAAATTGATTAGTGCTTCGGATATTCAACTGTAATAGAGAACAAATGTTATCGCTGATTGTGTTATTACATGTGGCTGTTTACATCATTTGTCGATACATTTAATTTGTATGTATATTGTGTGACGTCAAAGGCTAGGTTGTTACTAATTGTTTCACATGATGTAGCTGTATTTAAGTGAAAAATTACCACACAATGCCTGGCATTTGATCGAATGGTATCATACAATGAATGAACTCATTTTGATTTAAGTTTGACTGATTTACAGAGATCCTGACTATGTCTTTTATCTTTAACACATACAAAAATGACATCAGGCACAAAGGATAAAATGTTAATAAAGTAACTATAATTCGTAACATTCTTTGATATTATTTCACCTAAATAGCACAAAAACAAGAACAACAACAATAACAACAGATGCATTTGAACTTCATATATTTACATTTAGTATTCTTTTACAAAACTTTAGATGTATACTTTTAATTTCTTTAGACTTATTGTGGCCCAAAATCTCAGCTGCGTACTTTAAGATTGGTCCAACAAAAGAGTCAAATAACTGACATAATAACTTCGGTTTCAGTTTATATTCATTACAGTTTATCAGTAATACATTTAACGCTTTCAAAGTTTTACCAACAAGCTGTTCCTGGTTTAATGCAAAATTACCAGAATAATTACCTTAATTAATTGAATAATTGAAATCATTTACATGATCTAGGTGTGTGTCATTAGACAAAAAAATCAGAGTGCAACAAACCACCTCTCTTCTTAAAAAACATAACTTTAGTTTTATCTACATTTACCTCTAGACTCCACTTTGTACTATAACTGTGTAATGCAACTAAATTATTGTTTATTTCCTCAGGTGAGTTGCCTAGAATGGCCATATCGTCTTCAAAAGAACAACAATATCAAAATAATATCATTTAACTAAGTTGTGTCTGCTTTGCAAAAAGAAAATGTCTGATGCGCCTTTCGCCCAAAAATCTCCGTTGTGTATTTTAGTCATACCCCTGGTTCCCTGTCCAAATTTGGTTCCCGTCATTAGAATATAGACTGGCTCATTGACACATTATTTATTTGGTAAATAAAAATAACAAAAATAAAAAGAATATGATATTCAAATACTATCACTTAAGTTAAACGTTAATTTAATCCCTTAAAGCTCGTTGTAATGTTGTTCATCAGTAAAGCTATTTTTATTCAGGATTCTGAAAACAGTGTAATTTTGTTAAAACAAAAAGTTTAACAAAAGTAAGACTATTTTCCCCATTGCTAAATGGACGCATGCATATCTAGAAGCCGCCGCGTGCACGCGACGTCTAATAAATACCACCTTACAGTGAGTGATTTATTATTTTGGCAGTATTTAAGAAATTATAAATTCTGACCAGTATGTCATTTTAATAGTTTACTAAAATACGGATGGAGTTTGCGTGATAAAAATAGAATTTAACTAAGACATAACACCCGTTATATTATTTGTTTCATGCACATAAAATATTAAGTCTTTCTTCTTTGCATAATGAATTTAAGAGGGAAAATACAATATATTAAGGTAAATAATAGTAAGTTTATTCAAACGTGTCATAGTTTCTAATAGGTGCAAGTGTTGGGTTTTCTTTAAGGCCTCAACAGACGGTAGGATTTAGTTGTGCAGCACTAAGATAAGATGTACACTTTTCAAAGCTTTACAACACTTGCATTCAGACGGTAATTCTACACTGTAAGAATCATCTGAGGTTTCCCCTAAAAAGGACCCCTTTACATTGATCCTTTACATACATTTCTCACTAAATACTTTTTTTCGCCATGAGTAATGATTGAAACACCTCCATTAAAAAAAATATATATATATATTTTTTTTTATGTGAAGCCTGACCGAGACTCAAACCTGGGACCCTCGGAATACCGGCTCTACTGACTAAGCTATCTGGCCGCCTACAAACTGCCTCCCCTCCCCTATTTAGAGAACAATTCAATACCGTGACATAATCATTTTCGGAATAATTTGGGATTCGAACATAACACAACTTTGGGTCTCCTGAAGAGTTTTTCAACATCATTTTTACTCCATCTTACTACTATGTTTACCTTTTAGTCCTAATTGTTCTGGAATTTCATTCATTACACACATTATCAGGAGATAATTTGGTTATCTGTTACTTGTCATTGTGAGAGGTCAGTAAAAATCTGTACGACAATATTTTCAAAATAGAACATGTCCTATCCCTTACATCTAGACTTAAGGTTTCCGAAATCAAGAAAAAGTAGCCTTCACACATTAAGATTTGTCTGTACATCTTAGTTTTAATTGGTGTTGTACTTCAAAATCCTACCGTCTGTTGAGGCCTTTGGGGATTCTGTTTTTCACTATTTTATCAATACTGTTATCTGTGGTGACGGCGGCGATAAAGAACAGATAAGAGCCGCGTCATGACAAAACCAACATAATGGGTTTGCGACCAGCATGGATCCAGACCATCCTACGCATCCGCGCAGTCTGATCAGGATCCATGCTGTTCGCTGTCAGTTTCTCTACTTGTAATAGGATTTGTACGCGAACAGCATGGATCCTGATCAGACTGCGCGGATGCGCAGGCTGGTCTGGATCCATTCTGGTCGCAAACCCATTATGTTGGTTTTGTCGTGACGCGGCTCATATGTAAAGTTGGAAGTATATCATGTAGGAAATGATAGATCAAGTCATAAATTACAACTTTTTATGAATAATCATATCAAATGAAATATTCCATAAAATCAGATAATAATGAAAATGAGTGAACTTGTCATATTTGATGAAGGTAACATTAAAAACCTAGTGAGTGAAGACGGAGATAAAGTTGAAAATTATATGATAATAATAAATATAAAATAAAGTATTAAAGAGGATAGATAGATATATTACGAAATGCAATATAAAAAACTTTATCATCTGATGAGGACGGACACAGACTGATTTTAATATCTCTCCGAACACAAAGTAATGCCGAATATGTTAATATTCCAATATTTGATACGTTTAAAGAATACAGCAAACATATATTTTATGTTTAATCAGTGATATGTACGTCTTTTTTTCAAACTGTAGACATGATGCATTATTTTCCTACAAGAGATGAACCTCATAATGTCTTGACATGCTAGTTTAAAGCATACAAGTGTGACGTGCTTGTTTA